GGGGGGGGGGGGGGGGGGTGTGTTTATCACAGATTTGATTATTAACATGACAAGACATAGTAGGATCACAATGATGAACTATAGGTACATAGAAAATTGGTACAGTATCAAACTTAGAGCAGTTTATGATCATTGCTAGCTTACCTTTCTGGCCATGTCCATGAGGCAAGATCCTACTACTTCATGGGATCCCTTTGCCTCAGTATGAGAATGAGAGGCTCCATGAGGGAGGCCAGGAACGATAAGTAGCATCAATCCTCCACACACAATCTCTTGTGCCCTGGCATGCAGGAAGCACTCCATGTCCTCACCATGTTGAGCTTCATAAGCCTCTACTACTTCCTCTCTGGAATTTAGGTAATGGATTCGTCCTTTATTCCATGCTGAAGAGTTTTTATCCGATACCTCTTTTGGTGCTCTAGAAAGCCAATGAAGGCAAAAAGAAGCGTGAAAAAAGTGAATAGAAGCTTTAGGAAATAGGCGGCCATAGAAAGAACCAGGGACACCCGCAGCATAGTATCGCCTGTTTTGAGGGAGGGATTTGAAGAGCATGTTAAAATCATTCGGGGTATGATCGTTGAAGAAAACTTGAAATTCAGATATCTGAGAATTCAATCCCTGGCTTTGAGATTTGAGTTCCACAGCTTCGAGTATGTTTTGAACCGCAAAAAATGTACTGGGCCCAACAGAGCAACCCAAATCTGCAATGTGAAAGGTGTTGGAAGACAAAAAGATCTCTATGTCAAGCCTTTCTGCAATTTCCTTGTGTAGAATTTCTTTGGCAATGTCAACGATTCCTCTCTGTTAAATAAGAGATTGTGCATGTTACTTTTAATTGAGGGGATGGGGATCCATAATTTTCAATTGGGTATCTCTTTACATAAAATGATTGTATATCGTTGTGAGTACTAGTGATTTTGAAGAACTCAAAACAACAATTATATGATTTTGAAGAACTGAATGGAACCATGCTGTTTAAACAGAACCTGGTAAGTGGAGTTCTTGGCATAGCTGTTGGGGCCATCTCCACTTTTCATTGGATATGCTTCAAATTTAGTGCTTTCCTCTGCGGGAGCCATCTCTCTCTGTTTCTCTCTGTTTTTTGGGGGTTCTGGGTACTATTACTAGACAAACAACGTAAAAAACCCAAATTAATTACGAGAAGTAAAAACCAATGAAAATAGGCGAACTTGTTGTCCTTATTCATTGATCTGTTTCTTTTTAAAGACAAGAACAGAGATCCATTCGATTAATTGAATATGAAAAGCAAGCAATCAAGTTAACAGGAATTTTGAGCAGCCCAGTTGGTAGTATTTCTTGAAGCCAAGGTGAAATTCAGCCGCCATTTGGTTCCATATTCTGTTGTTAGGGTAGGGGCTGTCTGACTTTACCATGAAGTGAAGGACAAACCTAAAAGAAAAAAACAAGATATAGAGACAGACAGTTGTTCAATGCCCATGAATTAATTTATTAATTGTTGTTATCCCAAAGCCAACTTTAGATGATCAAAGTTTGCGCTTGAGAATGACAAGGACCAACCTCAGCAATTTTCTTTGAGTAACGAATGCTCTCTCCATGCCAGCTCTAAGCTCTGGTTTTTTGTATGTTCACCTGGAACTTGATAACCAAATGAAATGAGAGAGTACGTAGAGAGAGAGTAAACAAAATTAAGGGAGGAACTCCCGCTGCCATGCCAAGTATACGAGTTTTCTTAGCTTCACATCAAAGTCAAGCATATATCATCTTTGAAGGGCGTCACAAAACTAGTTTGAATTGAAGACTACCATTATTTATTAGTTGAAGAAGATCATTAACGTGCACGACCATATATAAATTTTTATAATCTAATCTCCATGACATGGATGGAATATATATATATATATATATATATATATATATATATATATATATATATATATATATATATATATATATATATATATATATATATATATATATATATATATATATATATATATATATATATATATATATATATATATATATATATATATATATATATATATATATATATATATATATATATATATATATATATATATATATATATATATATATATATATATATATATATATATATATATATATATATATATATATATATATATATATATATATATATATATATATATATATATATATATATATATATATATATATATATATATATATATATATATATATATATATATATATATATATATATATATATATATATATATATATATATATATATATATATATATATATATATATATATATATATATATATATATATATATATATATATATATATATATATATATATATATATATATATATATATATATATATATATATATATATATATATATATATATATATATATATATATATATATATATATATATATATATATATATATATATATATATATATATATATATATATATATATATATATATATATATATATATATATATTTCTAATCATTATCCAGCCAAAAAGCAAAACAAAAAAGAGAAAAAAAAGAGCACTTCACCTTAGGATAGGCAGGCTAAACAAAGCCATCACTTTTATTTAGGATCTTTGATTGGTTCTTCCATCCTATAAAATTACTTATAAAGTAGGTTTTACTAGGTTGCTAATCAAAGATATTTGCGCTTGACAAGAACGAAGAACCCAACAGCCAGGCCATCATCAGCAAAAAGAGAAGCACTTCCTGCAATATTTTTGTTCTTCGAGTATCGATCAAAAAGCAATTCTATAATTTCATCCCCGAAGTGATTTTTGAGAATGTTCTCCATCCCAGCTCTACATTCTTGTACACTAGGAAAGATGGCAGGCGTCTGAGCGGCTTCGATCTCCAATTTCAATATATCAAAGCAACCATTTTCCTCTATCAGTGTTCATTGATTTTGTATGACACAATTGGATATCGAAACGGTTTCCTATTTGTCTAATTTTTTGCAAAGATGATCTATGAATATAGACTTAATAAATAGATGGTTTGGATTGTTAAAAACAAATTCGTAGGGAAACCTAAAAGGTTTGAATCAATCTCAACCACACAAGCTCATTAAAACATATCCAATTGTTGAGCGCCCTATCCCTCCAATTGTTGAGCGCCCTATCCCTCAAATAACACTACTTTTAAGGATCCCTCATCTGAAGGGAACTATATATATATATATATATATAGAGTAATGCTATTTAGACACACAACATTGAAATAATAATGGAATATATAGTTGCGAACTCTTACAGAACATAGTAATGGAATATATGTGTTGTGCCATAGTTTTTCTCAAAATAATTAAAAGTTAAAAGACCTAAAAATATAGCCATGGCTGGAGATGAAAATTTTTAACCCTACAATATTCTTTAAAAAATTAATATTTTAGAGAGCTAAAATTTTAATGACATGGCCTGAGGATTAAATGGACACGCAAATTGAAGGAGACAAATTCATCTCCCATTCCCTGCACTGCACCGAACCGACTGCACCCATGCTTCATGGAATGTGCTTGAAATTATAAGGGGCTGCACATTCTCACTTTTTACTCCAAATTAACAAACACAGCTTAAATACACCTATAGCAAATGGTAATTGCGTAAATTGTATAGTCTGTATTTTCCTAATGTATGCACACCGAATTCATTCCAATCGTACGATATAGAATCTTTAGTGAGTTTGTACAAAAGTTTCTCAAAAAAAATATATATATGTTAAGCCCATCATAACAACCATTAATGAAATAGACTGATCAACGACTGGTCAGACTTTGAATCATGTAGTAACCCAACAATGGGTGAATCAAATCAAGACTACTTTACACCCATACAAATGAAAAATGCCCACCGTACCCGGCAGAAGCTCACTCCAGAGTACGTGGCCACCAGCAACAGTATATTCCATCATAAACCTACCAACTATATTAACCCGATACCAGAATCGATACACGTTGAGTAAGTAGGAAAGATCCTGAGCTGACTTGGAACCATCATGCCGCCAGTCCTACTGACCCAGCTCTGCCGGTCAAGAAGCAAAAGGTTATGGTGGGATCACAAAATTCAGAAGAGAGAACAAAAACATATTTTTCCAACACGTAGGTAAAACTTCTTAGAATGCTTTGAAGCCATCTAGTATTATGTCCATTTAAAAGGGCTTACCCTCAAGATCAAAATTGTTTAAGAACTCAATTTGCGGGAGTAAGTTGATGGAGGGTCAATTACTTTTCCCACTGCAATAGTTTTTCCTGCAGAACATACATAGAAATAAAATTTACTACCACACACCAAAAACATGCTCAATGGATCAAGAAGGTAAGGATTTAGCACCTTCAGTACGAAGAGTAAACCTTCCAAGTTGTGGAAAATCTGCGAACTTCTCAACGCATATCAAATTATTCACCTGTGGCAGCACCAGTGCACAATTGTATCAAAGTAAACAAAGTGTAACAAAGATTTAAAAACTGATTTGCTCAATTTTTCTTTTTTTGTTGTGGGGGGGGAGGGGGAGGGATGTTAAGAGAGAGAACAGTCTTAAGGACCATGAGCCTTGCTCAGGTCGTGAAGGAGTCTGATGAAGGGCAATTTATCAGCTGGAATACACATAGGAGAACAATGAAGAAAGACAACCGCCTATCTGCCAAACCCAGAAGAAACTAGTTGCAATTTCGGGATAATACACTACTTTACAAAGAAATTATGACCAGCAAAATGCAGGTTTAAAATATTTAAAAGGCCACAACCTTCTATTAGGCATATAATTGAAACTATTATGATACAAACCTGAATCTTGCATACAACAACAGCACCATTCTTGACAAAACGAATCTGTTTTTTCATAGGCTTCTTCGTCTTTGGATCCATTTGACTTATGAGCTCAATAATCTCACATTCTTCAACAATTGAGTGAACATGCAGGACAGCTTTGTAGCCAGCCGTCAAGATTGCCTAAACAGAAGTACATTGAGGGCTTTAGATACACATACACATGTTCACCAATCAAGATCATAAATAAATTATAAATTAAAAAAAGGAAAATAAGATGCTGGTCAGCTCTATGAGAGAGAGAGAGAGAGAGAGAGAGAGAGAGAGAGAGAGGGAGAGAGAGAGAGAGAGAGAATCTTCATACATTGTCCAGCAATTCAAGGATCTGCAACTGGGCAAAAAAATCTGTAACCGCTGGTATTGGATTTGCTGCATTAAAATAAGAAGCAAACTTAGAGCAAAAGATAAATTATTAAACAAATATAGTAAAAACGTAGGACAGTATAAAGGTAACAAAAAACAATGGCATATCAACAGAGATATTGCAGTCCAAAACTAAATGGAATAAAAGGGGGTCAAAATGGAGGGAGGGAAAGAAGAGAGGGAGAGTTTCAATTAACTATAAGTTTATAATGGTATTATTAACCAGGGCCAGTTTGATAATGCTTTTTTCTTTTTGTTTTCTGTTCTCTCAATTACAAAATAGAGAAGGAAAAGAAATAATAAAAACTGATTCTAAGAAATAAAAGCTAACCAAAAACAGTTTCAATAATTCTATTTATCCTCACTTCTCTCATTTATCGTCTTTTGCCCATCACCATTTTTCTTACTTCTCTTCACTTAACTAAACATATAAGAACTAATCTTATGCTTCAAACCTTCAAAGGAAAACAACAAACATGCAACAATAATGCATATTTTTATTTCAAGAAATAAAGTAGAATGGACAAATGTCATTAAAGGGAACTTACCAACACTGGCTAAGACAAAACCTGACAATATATCCTCTTCCTCAATGCCCGATAATCTAACCCGTAGATTTTCACCAGGTCCCGCACGTTTGACCCTATCTTCATCAATGAATATAGCAATAACTTTCACTGGAACCTGCAAACCAATGTTTTCAATTGTAATTTTTTAATACACAGTATTATAAAAGGGAAATTATAAAGAGGAAAAGAAAAACAAATAGAATATTAAAAGGAACACGGCAGAACCTTATTTGGCATGACAAACAACGAATCCCCCTCTCGAACCGAACCAGATTCCACTTTGCCCATAACAACAGTTCCCATGTCCTTGAATTTGTCTATGATAGGCATCCTACAGATGGAATTTGAAAGATCAAAGAAAAAACATTAGCCATAAATCAGCAATTTCGTTCTTCTCTGTCAATTTACTAACGCACCCATGGAGCTACTGATCCCACATCATACTCCACCCTCCCTATATTTTTATAACAGTGCCAGTGATCCAAATTCCATTGCCAAACAATTACTTTGACAATGTTAAGCAACTAGACTAAATGCCACTCATCACAGTAAAAGCAAACGATATAAAAGCAGCTTTATCAAGGTATTATAAGGGGAGAATAATTTCAAACACCAAATACTTCCTCAATAAGTAAAACATTCATATGTGCATCAATCAGACAGTGAAGCAAACCATAAAAAAGAAGATAAACACAAATACAGACGCTTACTTAAGGTATTCAAAGGTTATAAGGAGGGTTCTGAAAGTCAGTGGATTAAAGATTCTTAAATAAGCTAACAAAAACATAAACACTTGTTATTGGACACTTCCTCTATGCTGAGAAAAACCAAGAAAAAAAAGGGAGGAAAAATAAAAAGGCGATATTAATTAACCATGTACCTGAATGGACCTTTGGGATCCCGTAGAGGAATCTCAATGGAATCAAGGGCTTCAAACAGGCAAGGACCATCCCACCACGAACATACTGTTTTATCCACTCTGTTTTTTATGTTTGTACCAACCAGACCAGATATAGGTAGGAATTGGACATCTGTGCAGGCAAAGCACAAAATAATGACATCATAAGTCAATACACCATGATAATACAAAGCAAAATCTTCCAGAAAAAACAAAAGCAATCAAAATAGAACTAAGAAGAAATCCACTGATGTAACATTCAATTACCATCAAGTAAATGGTTAACCACACACTCAAAACAATTAGAGGGAGGGAGGGAGGGAGGGAGAGCCGGGGGGTAGAGACTTTGTCTGGAAAAGCAGAAAAAGATTCAGTAGTCAAGAAAAGCTACAGCCACATTTAGCTGCAGACTGTGGGTGGCTTCAACATCGCCTAACCCATTGATGATCAGGGGTATACCATTACAAGGCATGTAAATTCCATCTCTTATTTAGATAAATGGGGTACAATTGTGTATTCAATTATCACATGGAATTGCCAATACTCCAAAGAAAGTAAGAACGCTAGCTATCAGGCATCCGAGATGGTTAGAAAGTAGGAAGGACAAGGGAAAGGAGAAGAAAGTATAAGAGGTGGAGAGGAATACAAATAATGTTTCTCTTTTCTTCTTCGGTAAAAGGACATAATAAGCACAAACAAGTAGAGAAACGAAAGCATAAAATCACGATCTACTAAAAGCCAATTTATGTCCTGACTTGATGAAAAATATTTGCATTGAAAAAGTAAGGTTTCGCTTATTTTCTCTTCTAATCTCTTCAATTTGGAGGGACCTTTTGCAGGCCCAACAATTTGCCAATCCCTCCACTATTGTTCAATTCTCCCTCGTCACTCCTATCAAACAAGGGAAACCATGCCTTCCAATCCTCCCCTTTTCAATCAAGATCAAACATAGGGTAACTATAGCTTGAGAAAAGTAAATTGCCTAAACCTATTCCGCTTGTAATAACATTAGAACTTAAATTAGAAATCCAGCATAATTAGCAAGTCGGTGGAATAGACCCAGCCTAAAAGAGAATATAGAAATAAGATACTTCCTAAATCCCAAAACCACAAATGTTTGTGAAAAAAATAATCCTTGCATACCTTTTTTCACGTTGTAGCCTGATGTTTTAAGGAATGGCACCATCTTTGACCCAATTTCATCGTATCTGGTGAAATTAAGAGCATAAGATATCACTAATCCCTTTGGGGCAGGGGCATGCACAAGAGAGGGATAGGTAGAGTACCTTTCTTTTGCCCAATTGACGGTAGGATCATCCATTTTATTTACAACAACAAGCAGTTTGGACACACCCAAAGTTTTAGCAAGCTGAACATGCTCACGGGTCTGTCCACCCCTCTCATACCCAGTTTCAAATTCTCCTTTCCGAGCAGAAATAACCTAAATATAGAGAGAGAGGAGAAAGAAATTTAAATACACAAAGTTTACATATGTAGGATCGATGCAGTAATTATACATCACGGATATAACTCACCAGTACTCCTACATCAGCTTGAGATGCACCACTGATCATATTTGGAACATAACTTTTGTGGCCCTGATAACAAACATGCACTACTCAGGATCATTCCTCCAACAAAGTAAGCCAAACCATATTAATGATGACAAATATAATTAAACCAAGCAAAACAGATATCAAAAACTAAAAAACAGGGCAGATAGCAAGATAGACTGTAATCATTCTTCATTAGTACAGTATCCCACTTATCAAAATACTAAAAGATCGAGCAAAACCATTTGCATAACTCAGATGCATACTCAGTCCTCTACATGTCACACAGTTTTGGAAAACAATCTTGTTTCCGGATACTGAACCATTCACCTCATCCTGGGGTCACTCAACCATATTAAATGTAACCACTCTGTTCCTATGCCAGCTTAGTATGCAACCAGACATTTATCCTCTTTCATACTTTTCCCATTCTGTTGTGTGATGTAAATTTGACCAACAAAAAAACAGATACAAAGTCTTGTTTTGAAAACAAAATTCACTCACAGGAGCATCCAAAATCGTAAATCTTGATGCATCTGTTTCAAAATGTGCTCGTCCAACTTCAACTGTTTTACCCTGCAATGAGATTTCCAACAATAAATACTTACAGCGAAAACAAGCTGTTCCTTTGACAAAACTAGGTGTTGTAAGCACCATCAGTTAGCATTTAACAATGACTTAAGAAGATGACAATTACATTGCAGCAACTTTGTAACTGAATCATTCAAATCATACCTTAACCCTCTCTTCTTCATTGGTATCCATAATATAGGCCATATACCTAGCAGATATGACACAACCATAGTCAATGAAGCATGAACAGAAAAAGAAATTGCAAGCTGCATGTGTAATGGTCCATTAATGCTTCAGATGATATATGTTAATGCAGTTTTGAATTTAAAAAAAATTGTCTTTTGACATCACAGTGAGAAAACAAAGAGAAAGGAACAGGAGAGAGCAATATCAGATGCCATCAAATATATGTACTAATATTGAGAATAGCTATCAGACCTCACTAGACATGTGAAATTGTTTACTAGTTATTTGCATGTGTAAGATAAAAATATCAAAAGATACTGGTCTTTCAAGGGGATAAGGATCTTGGTCACAAGGTGCTAAGGTTGCTATTTTGTACTGACTTCTGTAATAATCAAGAAAGCTGAAGCCCAGACTCTTAACATATGACTTCAAAAGTAAAAAGCCGTCATCCTACTTCCTTGTCGAAGTCTACTTCAACACTCATTCCCAATTCCACTCCTAAATTACTCCTTTTAAGCCACTCATAAAATTCTATTATCTTCATTTATGAATACTTTTAAAAGCTTACAAGAAAATAGAAAGCCAATTTTCCCCAGGCATGTTCTTACAGAATAAGTTCACAATAAGATAGCACTAGGATATGCTCACCAGCTTTCCCTACTTTTTTCCTTTGCTTCTTTTTCATATTTTTGGATTGTACGGTCATCAACCTGACCACTAAGGAAAAGTATTTGGCCTCCAGTTGTGGACTTTCCAGCATCTGCAACCAATACAAGACACGTTATTACCATACATCGACATACCAAGTAAACAATAGGGCCAAAACAATGGCATATGAATTACTCTATTTGAAAACAAATGCATGCATACATTCAAATGCATTCAAGACCTGCAGCCTTTCACAACACCAAATGAGACAAGTACAATGTAATAGACAGAATTACAACAATATAAATATTTTTTTGGAATAAATTGATCTGTCATAGGTTATACGTCAATTATTGGCATGATAAGAAAGCCAGGTCATTCAAGACAAGCCAAATGTTAGTGGAAGTTTCATTGCTTGCTTTATTTTGCTGCTTCAAGAAAAGAGAAGCCTTTTAGAAAGTATAGAGCCCAGTTCAGGTGATAAGGTACTTGTTAGTCTTGTGGCCTTCATGTGTTACTACCTTGTAATTTCTAGGAAACTGACAGATGGGAGATGCAGCTGGCAGCACCCATTGAAGACATATAAAAGTTATGAAAAATGAATGAAGTCACAGTGTCCACATTACCGGGATATGCATGATCACTTAGGACCCTATAGAGTGTGAGGGTGTGTGAGAACATTAGTGGCTAGTGGTATGCATATAGTTCTAAGACAAGCAACAAGGACAGCAATCTAAAGCCAGAAATACTAAATTAAGCAATCTTGTGAGAAAAATAAACTTACCGACGTGGCCAATGAAAACAACATTCAAGTGCCTCTTCTTATCTAGTTCCATCTCATCATGTTCTTCTTCTGGATCCACGTTTATCTTCTCCTTCCCTGCATATTCAAGCCAAAAATTGACATCCAAGAAGAATATATATTAGAATTTGATAAGAAAGCTGATGGGTGATGCACTACAAAACAAAACAAATATGCGCATAATTACAGAAAAAATTTAATACGGACTGAAAGAAGCTTCCAAGCTACCTTTTTGCTCAACCACCTCTGGCTTAACTGAATGTGTATGAACCTCTTCCTTGGAATCTGAAATTGTTCCAATATTTGAAAAAACCAAAAAAAGAAGAAGAATGAATCTTCAATGTATATCTCCCATCAAACATAAGATTAGTGAAACTCTCCCATTAAGCTTTAATATCTTATTTCTCCTAAAAAAAATATTAAAACTTAGAGGTGGAATAATGTTTAGCAATTCTATCCCTGGAAACTTAGGTCTGCATAAATAGTTAATTTCATCAAACAAGTTGTCATTCATAAATAAACAGTAAGGTAAGTAGTCATTGATTTATGATTGGCCAATTCCATGTAATATGAAGATAAGAAATTTATTACAATCATTTGGTTCGAGATTAGCACCATAATTCTTTGTTCTCTTCATACAAGTATCCTAATCTGGTAACTATCACTAGATTTCAAAGTATTACCCATCACAAACAGTAACCGTTAGCAGTTAAAATTAAGCATATAACAGGTTAATAAAGCACAAGCAATGACATAACAAAGTATTCGATGATACTACCAACCTTCCTCCATCTTATCGGAATTCTCAACTTCCGGATGTGCAGCTTCTGGATTAACAACTCCATTATCTTCTGCTAATATATACACCAAGCATTAATACAAAACTCAAATTTTACCGTAGAACAATTATCTGTCTGAACCATAATAACTAAATTCACATGTCCTTTCAGAAATACCTGCCGAATCAAGCTGTAACGATCTGATTTCCTCCTCAATATCTATCATTTACAGAAAATTGAATAAGTAATTAGAACTATATCTCAATTTTCACCACAACCTCAACTAAACGCCTACTAACCAGAGCAAATAGGGAAAACTATTATATAATTCACAAGCGAAATTATTATAGTTATGCGCTAAACTTTATTCTGAACTCTATTGCTCAGTTTCCCAGAAACAACGAGAATTCAAATAGATTAAAAGAATTTATTTCTTGATATCGGCGTTGAACTGCGGGAGGCCAATCAATCCTAAAATTTAATCAAATACCACAAAAAAATATCAATTTGAACAAAAAATAACTGAAACAAAAAAAATGGCAAACCCTGACAAAGTAGAATAAACGCAAGGAAGATTCACACCAGAACTCATAAAATCATCTAATAATGGCCTATAACCCAGTGGATCTACCGGAGTTTGATTAAGGGAAAATAAAATCTTCGAAAATTAAAAATTAGAGAGGTGGAGACAAATTTAAAAGAAAACGGAAAGCAAGATTGTTATGCACAAGTGATTAGATAAAGAAATAAACAAATATGTATTTGAGACTGAAGGTGACGTACCCATGGCTAGAGTTCTCTGAGATTCTGTACCGCCCGCTAGGGTTTTTATGAGAGCGAAAAAGAATGGAGTGAGAAAATGAACACTTGTTTTGCGTTCTGGAATCTACTATTAGCGTACAGATGTTGGTGTGCTGTTTTATATGTGATAGTTTTCTATTTCACTATCTTTCTATTCCACCGTCCAGGCCTTAAGGTTGGGCTCCGGTTCGGCGCTCTATCAACCCGGTTCATTATTTACTTGTACAAAATTACCAATTGTGTAATACTAGGCTTTTGATGTAATGCTTTTTATCATGCTGCTGGGTATAAAGAATCGAATTTTTTTCTCTTGGAGGATACATTTGATGTTATATATATGTTTTAAAGAAAATGCACCTATAAGTGTAATCATTCCATACTTGTCCAAAATTACAAACCAGCAAACATAAGCTTAGCTAATGTGCTCCCAACTCCCCACCGAGTTCGAATTCCCCTTCCCGTAATTTAGACTAAATTAAAGTAGATTATCACTTGTATAAAAAAAAAAAAAATTACAAATCATCTCTATATCTTTTTTCTTTTTTTTTTGGAGAGATCTCTCTAGATCTTGATGGTCTTAGGATAAGCGAGACAAATAAAAGATCTTCCATAATTTCATGCTATCAAAATTAGAACTCCCACCATCACCAAAAAAAATTATACAGAATTGTTTCTATTCAGGGAAGGAAAGAATTTTACGGTGGGTGTAGTGAAAATATTTTGCTATTGGGACTAGAAACCTCTTCATCTCTCAAGCACACCGTGGTTCATTAGAATCCGAGATGGAAGATGGATGGCTAGGCCTTGATCCAATATATTTGTATTATTGGTCTGATCTCGGATGCGAGCTGAAGCCCAGAAATATGAATGAGAACATTTTTCAATCTCTATAAAATATGGGCCTGACCTGGCTTGTTTTTCTGTAGCTTACCTAGCCCGGTCCATTAATATAATAGATTGGACTCTGGTTTGTCCGTTCCTAACTTCACCGCACCCAGCCCAGTATTAATATATAAAATCATTTTGAACAAAAGTAGAATAAAAAAGAAATTAAAAAAGGCGAAAGAAGACAAGAAGAAAGCAATAAAAGCTAAAGACAGGCAGGGTAAACATGTTCCAGGACAGTGAGATCTAGCCCTGGATTTCGTGGTTATACTATTCTACATTCGCACCCAGCCTGCCTTATTTGCGCATCACTATCTGCCTATCAACCACCGTCCATCCAATTAACGAAGCTCAGATATTAGCCTACGTGGCAGAATCGAAGGGTGGAAAGAGCGTCTTATTACAAAAATCAGTCGAAAGTGCGCGCGTTAGCAAGGCAGGGGCGCAGACAGGAGCGAGGAACACGCGTCAGAGATAACGTGCGCACGCTGCAGCTGGTCCCACCAGGCTGAGCTGTATTGTCACATCGACGTCCCTTTTGTCTAATCAAAAAGGAAATCTTAATTCAACAACTACCACTCATTTCACCTCAGACTTTTTTGTCTTTCCCCCACGTCGCTGCCACGTGTCGGTAGCACTCGCCGAACTCTTCATTCAAAATCAAAACTTGGATTGCTTTTAACGGTAAAGTCGAATTTGTTAGGATTGGTCTCTCTCTCAACTTCTCACCTCACGAGATGTTTTAACAGAAAGGAAGCAAGCATGTGAGCTGTGGCGCTAGCTGGTGCAAGCAAATGAGGAAACGATAAATTGGGGTTAGGGCTTGCAGATTGTAGAGCGGGGGAAACAAGGCAGGCAGGCAGGCACGTGATGAGTTTTAATATTGCACAGCGGGGGAATCTTAGAAGCCGGTTCCCTAGACCTGGTTGATAGAAACAGGCTTTGCCGACCTATCCCACCATTATTTTATTTTTTATCCAAAACCATTATAAAAGGTTGCACCTCAAGTTTCAATCTTATAACCAAAGGTCATCATGGTGGGTTTCAACTTTGAAGGGTCATTATTTAGGGGGAGAAAATGGTTGAATGGTTGGCGCTGTACGCTACTTTGGTAGCTAGAGAGGGTATCTAATTAATCTTTTACATACCTTATATATATATTGGCTTAATGGGTAGGCTTAATTAGTTAGATAGGGGTGGTTCCCATTCCCAGGAGAGAGAGAGAGAGAGAAATGGTTTTAGTTAGCTTAGCTATCTTGAGATGCTTTATGATTCTTATGATCGAAGCTTGGTGGAAAGTCGTGGATCTTTGAGATATATGGATTTCGATGAAGGATGCATGGATCTAGATATATGTGGTATGAACTAATAACATCCTTGCTGTTGTAGTAATAAGATGATTCACGGGAACTATTTTCACGATAACAAAACCTGTTATTCGATCAGTGTTCATCTGCAGGTTAGAGGGCTGGATCTCTCTTGGTCTGTGAAGGGTTTACTGATCTTGTTTTTTATCATCTTGATTTTCCCTTCCAAGTTCATATATATATGTATACAGGTGCTAGGGTTTCGAGTAGTAGGTAGGTAGGGGTAGCTAGGGTTACGGAGCAGAGCTCCTTTAAGTCCAATAGAAGGTCTTGCTGGGTGGATTGAGCTGCTGAGCTATGGATCCCACAGCCCTATCTCAGATCATCAGAGGAATAGGCTTGTGGCTTGCATATCTCAGGAGCTGCATTACCTGTGTTAGATCTTTGTTTGGATTGAAGGGAGCTCTACGCCATTCTCACATCCATCATCTCTAATACTTTGTAGCTAGGCTAGGTTTTACACATGTTTCTTTTTACATGTTTTACTTTGATTTGTACTTTCACTACTCCTTAATTAATTATACCCTCTTTTTGCTCCTTAATTAATTACCGCTGATTGCTCTTTCAACAAGTCCTTGCTGCTTTACAGATTCTTCAATTACATGGTTTTTAGAGTTTTAGATTGAAAATACTTTCAGATCTATGTGTTTTTACTTTATTTTTTGTTTGTTGTATTAACTGACATTTCAAACCGCTGTAACATGATTATAAATATGTAGATCAATGGCTTTGTATTGCTTTATGTAGTTTTAAAAATTGCATGTTGTTTTTTTACAACTCTCAAGTCGCATTTTGTTATTTTTAATATAAGTTTCGCAGTTCATTTGGTTGCGATTCTAGGTTCCATTTTTTCAGGTGATGTCAAGTAAAAGATTATGTGCCTAACAAGAATCAGACGCGCCTGCTTAAACCGAGTCTTTGTGCACTGGAGACGTGCAGTGCAGTGTGTAGAAGCTTGATAGTCGCAGGTCATTTTGGGCAGTAAAGATCGTTGACCCATAATAATCTCCAGTTCTATGATATCTCAATGCCTTTTTTCACACCGAGGGAGGAGCCAGCAACATGCAAATGCCGTCTCCTTTGTACGTTTAAACGTTCTATTAGGTTCAAGTTTTATTGTCCAAAATAGTGAAATTAGAGATCTCCAACAATTTGGAATAGGCAATGAATAATTATCAAATGGATACGGCGAATGGCTATGTACTACCGGAATTACAAATGAAATAAAATTTGGGTATAATATCTCTGTTAACTTATAACTAGAGGTATGAACGAGAATTTGTTTTACTGAGTTGGCCAGGATGAATCAGAATTCCATGAACCAGTTGGGAACGGCCGGATCGGCCAAATGAATCCTTGCCTGATGGGGTTACTTCAACTTTAGGAGGTATTGGGTTTCAGGAGAGTGGCCGGATATGCAGAGAGCACCAGATTCATCTTGCTCCCAGAAAACTTGTACCATAACCCCACTTGGATATTCTGCACATTCTGTTCATGGAATCCCCACAAACCTAGCTCCAACCGGGATCCGCAAAACCATTATACGCAAAGTAACTTAAAGCTTAATTCCTTATCGATGTATAAAGGAAAAGAAGAAAACTGGTTGTGTTTTTTACCCTGACTGAGGCTCCAGATGGTAAAGTGAGAGTAAACAACCTACCCTCAGCTGTGGCAGCTTCTAGCTCTGCCTGCCTTGCGATATTCAAGAAGACTTCTTCAAGAGTTGCAAGTCCAAGTTGGATGTATGCTATGCCATATTCTCTCTCTATCTTGAAGCTCCGCAAAAAAATTCTGTATTTAGGTCGCATACCTCAGAAGTCAGATATGCTTCTTGTTTTGCAGTTATATAGGAACCAGAAAAAGATACTAAGCAAATTACCGTCAAAAGCCCCTCTCTATCATGAGGAATAACAAAATTCCGAATGCTCTGTTCTCTTCTTTAGGCAACATAACCTTTTTGCTTGCCAAACTTTGTCTTGAATCCAGAGGTTAGATGTGTTGAAGCTCTGACTTTGTGGCGCAACAATTCTTCTGATATAAACAATGAGCTATATAAAGGTTACCCAAATGGGAACCCAGAGAGGAAAGTTAATGAAATACTTGCAAGTTATGCCCGCTACTTGACTTTGATATGATGAATACATACAGTATCATCATATACTAACTATTGACGGTGCATTTTCTTGCAGCCTATGATTTCTTAAACTCAAATGAGAACAGTTTTAATGCAATCCTATGGTACAATTCAAGCTTGAGGAGGAGTGTTGGTTCTGATCTGCAGCGGATTGGGCGCTCAGTGAATCTGGTAGACAAACATACACATAATTAACTTGATAATTTACTTGGTGACATCTTAAAACAAGAAAAGTGAATGTTGCTAATTGATCAGGCAGGGATGAGTTTTAATGCATTCATTTGTTTTATTTGCTGCCAGGCATCCAATGCCTACCTTCAGTTTTTGCAAGGACCTGGTACCAAAATGCTGTTTGAGTTTGTCAAAGAAATGCCTAAGCCTGTAACCAACGTAGTAAGCATGCCGGATCTTTCCTCTCTAATTGGTCCACTCTTCTTTACATGGATCATTTTACTGCTGTTCCCGGTAAGTAAGATTGATTATGTTCATCCATATTCACTACATGGATTTTTGCTAATTAACTTAGCTTACTTAATTTCCCAACTTTTTAATGGTGTATGCAGGTTGTGTTGAAGTCACTGGTTTACGAGAAACAACAAAAACTGAGAATCATGATGAAAATGCATGGCCTTGGTTATGGACCGTATTGGATGATCTCCTATGCCTATTTTCTTGCAGTTTCTTTGATCTACATGCTGCTCTTTATGGCAGTTGGCTCCATCATAGGTATACTTGTATCTATCTAACTACTTGCCAACTGTTTCAGACTGGCTTCACCCTGAGTTGCTTTAATGAATTCAAGTGTGTTTACTTCCATCCTTGCAGGGTTAAAATTCTTCACAATCAATGACTACAGCATCCAGTTTGTTTTATACTTCATCTATATGAACTTGCAAATAGCGGCGGCTTTCCTAGTAGCTTCAATGTTTTCAAACGTTAAGGCTTGTACAGGTTCGATTTGTTTTGGTTTGAAATTATTGATCAGGGATTTACATTTTAAGTTTTATCTCATGAGATGATTTAACTGACATGGTTGATTTTATGGTAACAGCTATAGGTTACATTCTGGTCTTTGGAACTGGGCTTTTGGCAGAAAATCTTTTTCGAAGATGCATCTGTCTCTAGTAAGTGGAAATTTTTATGAAAATGAAGCATTTGGAACTTAATTTGCTTTTTGTTTATACTTTTCAGAAACTCAACTCTGTATTGGTGTTCTTGTACGTAGGACGTGGGATAATTCTTTTACAATTGTATCCTGGCTTCTCTCTGTATCGTGGATTATAAGAGCTAGCACAATACCCCTTGCAAGAAAAAAGGGTTGGGATGCGATGGAGCAATTTGAATGATAACCAGAATGGGATGAAAAAGGTCTTCATTATCATGGTTATTGAGTGGTTTGTGGTGCTTTTTGTTGCATATTGCATTGACCAAGTTGTATCATCTGGAAGTGGAAAAAGTCCTTTATTTCTCTTGCAAAGGATTAGGAAGAAGAAACTTGCATCTCTAAGGAGGCCTAGTTTGCAAAGGCAGGGATCAAAAGTTTCCATTCAGATGGAGAAACCTGATGTTAGTCATGAGGTAACTTTTCTTGTCTCTCTTTAGCTTATATACTCATTAGTCTTTATCACAGGTATAAATTAGTTCTGCTTCCACTTCTTCCTAATTTCCAGATCGAGATGGTTGATAGGTTGGTATTGGAAAAAAATACAAGTCATGCGATCGTTTGTGACAACCTCAAAAAGGTGTATCCGGGAAGAGATGGAAACCCTGAGAAATTTGCAGTGAAAGGGTTGTCTCTTGCTTTGCCTCCAGGGGAGTGCTTTGGTATGCTTGGCCCCAATGGTGCAGGGAAGACCTCTTTTATTAGTATGGTGAGCAGAGCACACTCTACTTCTTTAGAATATATAATTATCAAACATATATACTAATGGCTAGTTACTGCTTAACCAATTGCAATCTCTTTCCACAGATGACTGGTCTCACAAAACCAACCTCTGGCACAGCATATGTTCATGGTATGGACATTCCGACGCAAATGAACGATATATATACCAGCATGGGATTTTGTTCACAGCATGAGTAAGCTAAATCAATTTTAAGCAAAATTTCTTTTTCTTGGTTGTTTCTTTAAACATTTAAATCAATGTTATGAGTTTCTTGCTTTCTGGATATTATTTAGCCTACTATGGGAAACACTGACTGGAAGGGAGCATCTACTATTTTATGGCAGACTTAAGAACCTCAAAGGTCGTGCCTTAATGCAAGTGAGTAAATTGAAAATTTAGTAATTTACTATTTTTGACATTGGGATTGTAATTGAAAACTCGTAAGCATTCAAGATGGGTTGATATGTTTAGCTAGCTGGGAGGATTAATTTGTGGGTGGTTTAATTTGGTTGCTGAAGGCAGTGGAAGATTCTTTGAAGAGTGTCAAGCTTTTTGATGGTGGGATTGCTGACAAACAAGCAGGGAAATACAGTGGAGGCATGAAGACAAGGCTTAGCATCGCAATTTCGCTGATAGGGGACCCCAAAGTACGTCTTGGTGCTCCATCTGCTAAAGCTAATTCGATTTTTTATTTCGATATGTTATCTCAAGATCATGCAACGTATTGCACTCGTTCTTTTTGCAAATTCCTGTACTTGAAGGTTGTTTACATGGACGAGCCTAGTACTGGACTTGATCCATCTTCAAGAAACCATCTACGGAATGTTATAAAGACTGCAAAACAAGACCGGGCAATCATCCTAACCAGTTCTCTCTCTCCCCCTCTCTCTCACACAATCTATTTGTGACCTTATTAATTCTCAATCTATGTTTAGCTCTTTCATTTCACTTACAAAGCCGATATATATCTTCAGCACATTCCATGGAAGAGGCAGAGGTCCTGTGTGATCGATTAGGAATTTTCGTAGACAGCAGGATGCAGTGTATAGGAAACCCAAAAGAGGTAACCAAATCCCAACTCTTCTATTCTCCTATCAATGAGATTCTTGGCTTGGATGCTTGGATTAATTACTGTTTGAGAATTGAAAATATGTGATGATGCAGCTGAAGGGGAGATATGGAGGATTGTATGTCTTTACGATGACAACAAGTTGGGAACACGAGGAAGAAGTGGACAGGATAGTCCAGAAGTTGTCACCCACCGCGAACAAGACATATCGCCTGTCAGGGACACAAAAGTTTGAGCTGCCCAAAAATCAGGTCAGAATTGCAGATGTATTCCAAGCAGTGGAGTTTGCAAAGAGTAGATTCCCAGTGTTTGCATGGGGTGTGGTTAACATTACTTTGGAGGATGTCTTCATTAAGGTTGCTGCAGCTGCAGCTGCAGCTGCATTTTCATCATATGATATATGAAACCCCAACGTAGTACTAGATTTTAACTTGATTAACTGTTGAATATTGTTAGAAGATGCATTTAATATGCCTGCCATTCATTCATTTGGATATTCTGTTAAACTTTTGTTCTGCTTAACAGTCTATATATATATATATATATAAAATTCAAAAGAAATTAATATAAATTTTGAAATGTATGCACATGTTACTTGCGAATGCCAACAATCTCATGTTACACCTCGAAGCACAATCAGATTCTAGTCAGAATTGTCAAATTAAAGCATTGGATTCTCCTTGTATTAACCTAAACCCTAAGTTAATTCAGTCCACTACGGCCAGATTTTGATAGTGTTTGGGAGAGATGGCTGCTTCCATTACATGGTATGGGCTAACTTCGCCGTCATTATCCAAGAACAGCTTTAGCAAATCCACCGAGAAGCCACCGAGGTTGGCGAGCCCTGGTTGTCTACGAGGCACTGCCAGCGTGTCCAACTTCCAATACACAATCTCCGGCACCGCATTCTCCTCGTACCCCTTCTCCTTAAACTCGCTCTGTATTGCTTTATAATCACTCTCCCAGCAGCTCTTCTTGTTATCATTTCCCGAATTAGCCACCTCAAAGCATGTGTTGGTGAACAAACACCTTCTTCACCATCTGCTCTGCCTTTAAATTCCCCTTCACAGCCGCTTCCAGAATCAAATCAAACACCTTGTGCAAATCAATTTTGCTGCCGCCGCAGTCCATCCTTCTCACAAACTCGCACTTGGACTGGAGATTATCCCCTCCTACCAAATGCAGCTCAGGGTTTGGACTGAAGCTGATCACCTTCCCTTTCCAGCATGGCTCTTCACTCAGTTGAGACAACAGCAGCCCCAAACCCACCGACACATCCATGTAGTTTTGGATCCCCGCCATGGAAGACGAAGACACGTCGCATACAGCCAAGCAGTTTTTCAGCTTGCCCTGCTTTTTTAACCACATCACCATGGCCTTCCACTGAAGCTCAGTCACTTGCCCCACATCCACATCATCCGCATATCCTACGATCTCATTTGGAAGCAGAGCACCCGCCGCAATGTTGCACTTGACACCGCCGTTGCCGCCTTTGACGTCCTCCAAATACTTCTTAACCGCACAGGGCTTTCTTCCTGAATCATCAAAATAATCCAAGGCGTTGATCAAGGGCACCAGCACCTCCTTCCTCAGCCGGTCTCGGACTCTGTAGGCGTAATGGGCCCCCGAAACAACTCGATATTCTGGGGACGATTCTCGCCGGAAAATCTTTCTCGCAACGCTTTCACACAGCAATGTGGCGCGCTCCATGTAGGAGTCGATGGAAGGGCAGAAATACGGCGTGGAGCTTATCTCGTGAATGTCCTGCTTCTTTAATTTTCCAATATCAGACTTCAACTTCTCCGCGAAAAGATCCGATACCCGGTCGTGTAAATTGTAAGAATTGGTCATTCGGGTCGCCTTCGTACCGCTCAACAACCTTCTTCTTGGCCATGGCGATATCAATGGCCTTCTCTCTCCTCCTCCTACTACTACTAATACTATTATTATTATTATTGCCAGCAGCAGCAGCCTTTTCCTTTTTCCTCCTCCTCCTGACGTCCTGGCCTTGGAGAAGGCGGTACAGAATCTCGACAAGGTCGTGCATAAGGGCGACGGACTGGGAAAACTCGCCGACTATAGAGGCGACGTTGCAAGCTAGGGTCTTGGGGTGGTTCTGGTGGATCCAAAATGCGGCGGCGTAGAAGGCTTCTTCATCGGATTTTCCAAGATCATTGGAGCAGTCTCGGAGGTTGCAGATGAGCTTGAGGGTGGTCAGGGGATTGTGGGACCAGGCTAGAGGGAGGAGTTGCTTGAGATATTTATAGGAACTGGAGGTCGGGGGCTTGTCACTGTCGTCTTCTGCTTCTACGTTTGGTACGAGTACGTGGAAGAAAAAATCAAGGCAGGGGTTGCCGTAGGAGGAGAGAATCTGGAAGTGAAATGGGCAACCATGAAAACAGAGTCTTCTTCTTGATTGGGAGTACACAGAGTTTGGGGTTGGGGTCTGCAGGGGTGGGTTGTTTGGGCTCCGGAGGAGGAATGTTGTTATAATAAGGAGCCAATTTTTCATTTCTGAGTTGTGAAATACGTTTGACGACAAGGGTTTTGTTTGCGTTGACCAAAACTAGTGGCAGCGGAGAGAGGATTTTTGCTATTTTCACTGCAGGTTTCATCATACTCATAACCATTTTCAAGTTCAATGAAGGGATAAATATCTCTCTCTCAGTGGCCAAAATAAACAAACGGACAATTGGGGCGAAGAGATGCTTTGTTTGGGCAGCAAGCAAGGACTTTATTATTACGTACTAGTGAGATCCAAACCTTAAGATCAAAGCCAAGAATAAAAGGGTAATGCTATATTTTTATACCACATTGTGTACCATCTCTCTAATAGAGGTAGAGCCCACCAATACAATAGGACCCACCTCTATTAGAGAGGTGGTATAAAAATGTGGTATGCCTAGCAAGCAGTACAGACATTGAAACAAAGGAGAGGACGTACGCCTCTTCTTTCTCCTTTGTTAGGTTTTGCTTGGAGGGCTGAAGCCCAAACAGAAACTACACCAACGCAAATTACCGGGGCCTAAAGAAAAAAATAAAAAATGAATAATAACTTACCTACTACAAAGTACTGGGCCCAAACAGAATACACATGTAGCTGAAAATCTTGAAACGAAATAAATTACGTAACCTACATCACTAGGGAAACCATAAACTGGTGGTTACTACCGTAGTCTGTATGCAAAACAAATTACCGGTTTTGCTGTATGCTACATTTTTGTACATTCTTTCTCATCTCCACGAGAAGAGAGATGCTAGCTAGCATTAGATTACCAAGAAATAATTGTGCTTATGACAACAAGAGTGTATGATATGATGTAAGAAGTTGCTGTGAAAGTCAGTATCAGTAGTATCTGATACATACATCATAATCGCATCCAAAAACTAATCGTCACGTATGTGCATTGCTGCTGCTCCATTTAGGGCATAAGCAATAAAGTCTAGTTTCTAATCAACTCTAGCTGCCTGATACAGATTGCTTGAAGCCGATCATAATAAGCACATAATCTCCTCTCTTCAAGGATTGAAGACTCATCGTAATAAAGCATATAATCGTAGAAGTTGTTCAACACATTTGCCAATAATGTTCCAGGATAAAGTACCACATATATTTGTATAGGCATGACCTAAACATCTATGCATCCATTACTCGGTTCTTGTTATGTCCTCAAAGGAAAGGTAATGCATCATACATTTTGAATTTGAGGCGCCAAATCCTAAATAGCTCAACTAAGGAAAGAAGGGAAAAGAAAGACCAAACTCCTTTCACAACACACAAATGCGTTGAAACCCAACATCTGTGACTAATTCTTCAACATTACATTTGAAACCCAAAAGAGGGATTGAAGGAATACATCATTTCTGAATCCTGTGAAGCAAAAGAATATTACATAGCATCGTATAACAAGATAACAGAGTTGTAGCATCAAATCTAAACCAAAGGCCAATAGGTGCAAAAGCATACCATCTCATTCAGAATTCAACTGAGAACCATTTTCTGCATTGGCTTCCAAGTTCCAGCCCCTGAAATGAGTAACAACTAATTAGTGGTCAAACTAGTAAAATGCATGCCAGAGAAAACACACCAGATAGGAAAAGGTAGATTACTTCTCGGCTGCTTCCCTCCTCAATTCATCCAGATGACTTTCAAGCTTAACACATGCAGCATGGATTTCTATATTTTTCTGACAAAGCTCCTTCCATTGGGCAGACAGAGCATTAAGCTCATATGCAGTGTTTTGCTGCCATCAATGAAGAAGTAAATTTATCAGATCAGAGTACAACTGAGCATCAAAACAGTACAAGGTCGGCGGCAAGAAAGTTAAATCACCTGGTGATATTTCCTTTCACGATTCACTGTTTCAATCTTTTGAAATTGTTCCTGAGCTAATTTCTGCATTCTGAAAAAGAAAAACCAAGTATTATCAAATCCATTTTTGCATATAGTTACAGGTTACTGCTGCGCAATCCCCAAAGTCGCACAACTAGTGCGGGAATCAAGGAATTCAATCAGTTGTTTCACAATCATAAATGTTGCACTTTTTACATGAGATCTGAAAAACGAACCTTGAAAAAACCAATTGCAATCGATTGTTGTTCTGAATCCAGGCGTCAGGACCATATTTGTCAATCAGCTCCAAATTCTCTAACCTGCAAACCAGCCACTCAATTCATCACAAGCAAATATATACGCACATATACAGATTCATGGCATACATTATATTATACACATACGTATGTATGTAGAGATTACCTGACGACTTGGTGCTGCAAAGAGCACTGAGCTTTCTGAAGAGCAAGTCTCCAAGCCGTTTCATCATTCATTTTATTCAAAGGCGGCGTCTCTACTTTGTCTCTGGAAAAATCAATAACCGCCGGAGGCCTAGAAGCTCTCACGCGGTCGTACTCTCTAGCTAGCATAGGATGATCCTGAGGTATAAAATTTCATAATCAGTGAGATAGAAACCCTAATCTCCGCAGCCAAAAGAGAGAAAAACCTAGGAATTTGGGCACTGACCTGGAAATTGGGCTTGGGAAGTGGAGGCAAGTCTTTAAGGAAATCGGCGGGCTTTTTTGCGCTGCGTCGCAACTCCTCCTCCACCATGCGGTCGACCTCTCGTTTGACGTCGGGGTTGGCGTAGTCGTCGTCGATGTACGGCAAGGCGTCGATGGTTTCGGCGTTGGTTAAAGGTCCTGGCCATGCTGGACCTTGCGGTGGCGGAGCTTCTAGCATTAAGATGTCACTGTTGCTGTTGTTCGCCATTGTTGTACACCGAGAGTCACTGAGTGCGATTCAGAGACTGAACTCGTGCGAGAGTGAGAGTAAAATTGGGGATGACGGTGTAAAATTGGGGTAGTCTGCGAAATTGTGACTTTATGCGCGCCGTTTGAGCCCGACCCTTTCTTTTTTGTGGGCAAAGCGCCCCGTTTATTTGAAGAGCGAATTTCATTTTACTGACCAAAAATTAAAATTTTCATTTCAATTTTTTTCCGGTTACAAAAATTAATTGTGAATTACGGGCTAAAAGAGAAAAAAATTATAATATTTTATTTAATTCAAAATTTGCATTTACCACAAAGTCAAATATATAATACTACCTGCCTGGGGTTCAATATCACATCTTTGATGATGATCACTTTCAGTAATAAAAAGAAAGCAAATAGTACTGGGCATGTTAGAATGTAGAAGCCTCACATGATATGATATATAGATAATACAGCACAACAAAAGATTTGAAATGTGGAAGTAGTACTACAAACAGTAAAATACACTGCAACATTTCTCTATTATTCCTTTCAAACTTTTGAATTTTGAGAACTTGAAATGGAACCCAATACCATTAGATCATGTTTTCCACTGCTGGCTTGCTTGTACACCAAACAAAAATTTACTGAAAACAGAAACTGTGGTCCGCATCTAGTCTATGAGATTTGCATACTTGAATAGATGAGAGTGAAAAAGCGCTCAACTTCTGGTACATTTAGAATGATTTGGATGAATTTGCTTGGTTCTTCAAGGATTGTAGGACCCATCCGTGCAACCCGTGCCAAAACTTTGGCAAGTTGAACTCCTCCGGGTTGAGCACCCATGTCCTCTATCACAGTATCCACCACTGCTCTCAATGCTATGTCAGCAACACTCCCAAATTCAGCACTGCAATAGAAGATGAAAAGGATTTGACTGACTTCGAATTAGCGGAACAAAAAAGTTACTAAAAGAAAAGGCGGCATTTTGAGGGATAACAATGACAAAATAAACTTGTATAATAGGGGATTACATGTATGGATCTACTCTAGCAAGCTTATGAAAGAAGTCAGAATTTAGTAAAGCCAAAATCAGTATACTACGGCCGATAATGCTGCATCCCTAACATCACAGGCATACCTTGATATTACTGCCCGTGTCTCCACCATAAGTTGTTCAAATTTGGTGACATCTGGAAGAAGTGTGTTATCATTGCTAAAGGCAGTGGCTAGTTCAAGTCCACGGGCATCCTCAGGCATCAAGTAGTTCACCCAGTGATGGGGATCTCCTGTGCTCATGAACTTGTCAAGTATTTGCATGATAGTTGCATGAAGAACTGTGGCATTGAAGGAATCCCTTAGCTGCTTTCTGCACATGAAAAGCATCCAAACTATTTAATACAATCTCTGATAATCAATACGTTCTATGAGAAAGTTGGGGCAGTGAGAAAGTTTGGTAGTTTCGTGTATTAAACTCTTATTGAGAACAGATTGAAAGCCTGGACATTGACCATCGTATATAAGACATTTTTAAGGATGACATAGTCACAAAGGACAAGCATGTATACTCATAAGCATTAACAGCAACATGATAATAGATGGTAAGACAAAGCTTACCCATTAAGAACTTCTGTTGCTGCTGCCTGGATGTTTGAAATTAAAGCAGGCATGCCATTACTGGAGAGATAATCAGAACTTGCTAGAAACTTCTGCTGGTCATCCCTATGAATGAGATCAGCATCCTCCTGTAAACATAATGATAACAAATATATACATTCAGAGAAGTAAAAGTAACATGTCAGAACCAGTAATATTGTCTAAAGTTCACTTCAGAACCAGCAGTAAAAGTAACATGTGAGTGGTGTTGCAAACCAGCCTTAATGTCTATTAAATTACTGGGGGAAAATGAACAGATGTAACGATACTTTTAGGGAGTGAGCACCAATCAGACTGTCACCAAGCAGTAATCAGGGATAGTATTCTGAAATATATTATTTCCAGATTGAGACAACCTGGAAACCATCTACCCCCTGCCACTCATACCTCACCTCCTTTATGGATATCCAGCCTCACCAGAAATGCATCCCAGTCCTTTTCTACACTCTCAAACAGAATTGCGTGTCTAGGCTTCACCATACTTATTCTACTAAGTTATTCTCCAAAACTGAAACATTTTATTTTAAAATCTCCTTAACAACAGTGAATGTGATGCCACTCAGCCACTACCCTAGGTATAATTGCAACACGCTAGAACATCCCTAACTCCTGGGAAATTTTATTTAAGAATGGAACCTATTTACAAGTGACATAACTTGCAGCCATATTTGATAACTTAATGAAACTTAGTTACTTTGATTAAGTTTAGATCACATACATTCCTTCAATCCCAAATTTTGGTGACAGGCTAACCTACAAATGAACATCTAGAAGAAGATGTTTCACTTTTGAGGCTACGTTTCCCAACAATCCATTTTTAGAAAGTGAAAGTTCACACATCTTACTAACTAATTGTACCCTAAACGGTTTCTTGATATGCAATGATAATTCATCCTAGTAATAAAATAGGACCATGAAATACATGCAAAATGGAGTTATCAATAATTTGCAAGTACAGAAAGTGGGAAAGTATATAGCTCTTACAATTAAAAGAGAGCTTCCAAGACCACGGGCAGTATCAATATATAAATGTCTCCCTAATATATTGACTTGAACTCTAATATATAAGCTAAGGATCGTCATTGCCCACAACGACAACACCATTCTTGTGAAACCTGGAGAAATACAAGACCTATACAAGGTGAGCTGATTATAAATATCAGAATTCATAAACTATGGTACTGATAGATGACAAATATATAAATAAATTCAAGTTTGTACTTAGAAATTCAGTCAAGTCAGATTCATACTTAGAATTTTCAGTCTATCCCATAATTCAAGTTTCTCTGCAGATGTTGATTGGCCCTTCGCTTGCATTAACCTGTCTGTAAGGTGAGAAAGGTCTAACTCTTCAGCTATCCGACTATTTAAATAGTGCATTGCATGAGGCAACGTAGTTGTATCAGCAATTCTTTGTATGTTCTCAAAATGGGCTTGCATTCTATTATTGGGAACAAAAAGACATAATGTTAGAACCCAGATAGTAAGTAGTTAGGGACTCAACAACAAAATATCTGGATACAGAAATTGAAGTGGGGATCTCTCTTAACTGGGCCTTGATAATCTCTTCGTTTCTATCTCGTTCATGCTCGAGTTCGGTATCCAGGTCAGCAAGCCTTTGTCTGTGAGCATTATACAGTTTATACAGAAGATATCCACTTCCTAAAACACCAGCTGTAACATACAACTTCCTCCTATGCCTTCTCCAAAAACCCCTAAAATAACAATGGCGTACCAAAGTCGAAAGTAAACAGTTGGTGAATAGAATAAGCCAATTGTTACAAAACTCAAAAGTAAACCAGATGTGTACACATAAACCACAATAACAGGAAAGCCATTAAACCAAAGGACCAGTTATTACTAACAAATTTTATCAACAAAATGTAAGAGCCCGCAAGCGTAAGCAACCAATTATAACAAGAAAAGAAAAACAACGAATATCTCAAATAAATTACCATAATAGAGAAAGTAAAACAATACCCAGAAGAAGAAATAGACAATTAAATCAGTAACAGAGAGGCACAACAAAGACCCAGATGATAGAACGCAGTAAATTTGATGAACTGACCTTAAAGAAAGCATTGTTGGTGCTATGAGAGCCAAGCATCCATCACTGAGCCTTAATATACTGAAGTCCTTTCTGTGAAGATGGTTGAAAGAAGATAGTTTCGAGTGGAAAAGGGCAAGAAAATAAAATGGAAAAAAGTTGTTTATCGGGCAGAGCCGCAAGCGGTCTTACGAAAACCCGCGCCGCAATCAAGTGTAACGGAGGTTCTTCACGTAATGGAAATCAGTTTGAGGATTCAAAGAGACTGTAAAAGCCTAAAAAGAGGAGGCCCCTCTGTTATGAGTAAGTTTATCTGAGGAATTTTGAAGGATTTGTAGAGAAGGCAAGTGGGGTTAAGTTAAGGCTGGTGGGATGAGATCAATTGGGCGTAGTATATATTTAGGCCCTGTGATAGTTTTGGTAATTAAACTCTAGCTTTATATGAACTTTTCTATTCAACTAATAGTAATGGTTAATGCTTAGTTCCTACCAAAATCTCGTATGTTGCTAATTCTGTAAATCTGAATTATATTGAAGTAAAATTTTGCATACACTATATAATTATAATGCAAGCAATTGTTGTCAAAATTAGTACGGTTCAATTTGCTTAAATCAATGATCTAGATTATTTGTTTTGGTAGATTAAATTGAAACTCCAAATTCAAAACCCAATATGATTGAAGTGGATTAACTTGTAAAAAATCATTCAATTTGTATATAACTTTACTTATATTAAGATGTTCGATTGGATATTTGGCGATTTATCTCTAAAGACACATACCCACAACATGATGAATAAAAATAAATATTAAATATTAAAATTAAAATATTAATCGAATCAAAGGAAACTGTTATTAGTACTTCAAAAAAGTTATACATCATGTATAAAAATTTAAGAGAGAAATTAAACTTGGATGAGTATAATGACGTTTTTAGAGTGCCAATATATTTGTCTCTAATCCTTAAATACATACTAAACTTATTTAGGGATATTTGATATCATCTTAAAAAAATGATATTTGATTTTTAGGTAGGGTATAGTCATCATCTAACCATTGGTTTCTATGCTGTGGTGTTGTCTGAATCCAAGGCCCGACTTCAGATTCTAATTGGGCTTCCAAATTAGACCCAAAATTTATTTCCGGGCCTTGCTTATTCTGAGCCGGGTTGCCAAACTTAAGGGTACCCAAACACCCACACACCCCACCCCACCCCAGGGCCTAGTTTGGGTTTGACTCTCTCTCTCTCTCTCTCTCTCTCTAACTCTCCCCCAAAACCCTATTTCATTCAGCTATATATACTTCTTTTATTCTCATTTTTCCTCTCACGCTTTCACTCTCACTCCGCGCCTTCGCCTCTCGAAACCCTAGATACCCACTCAGCCGCCGAGCAAAGCCGAAGCCATGGCAGAAACTCTTGTTCTCCGCGGAACCATGAGGGCTCACACCGACATGGTCACGGCCATCGCCATTCCGATCGACAACTCTGAGATGATCGTCTCGGCATCGCGCGACAAGTCTATCATCCTCTGGCACCTTACCAAGGATGAGAAGACTTACGGTGTGCCCCGGCGTAGGCTAACTGGCCACTCTCACTTCGTCCAGGACGTCGTCCTGTCATCCGACGGCCAGTTCGCGCTATCTGGATCCTGGGACGGCGAGCTTCGCCTCTGGGACTTGGCTCTCGGCGTCTCTGCTCGCCGCTTTGTGGGCCACACCAAGGACGTTCTCTCCGTAGCCTTCTCGATTGACAACCGTCAGATCGTTTCGGCCTCCCGCGACCGTACGATCAAACTGTGGAACACTCTTGGTGAGTGCAAGTTCACTATCCAGGACCAAGACGGGCATGGTGATTGGGTCAGCTGCGTCCGCTTCAGCCCCAATACACTGCAGCCCACCATCGTATCAGCCTCATGGGACAAGACCGTCAAAGTGTGGAACTTGACCAACTGTAAGCTGAGGTGCACCCTTGAAGGGCACAATGGGTATGTGAACACAGTGGCGGTTTCTCCTGATGGCTCATTGTGCGCCAGCGGAGGGAAAGATGGAGTGATTTTGCTGTGGGATTTGGCAGAAGGCAAGATGCTTTACTCACTTGGTGCTGGTGCTATTATTCACGCTCTCTGCTTCAGTCCCAACAGGTACTGGTTGTGCGCGGCAACTGAACAAAGCATTAAGATCTGGGATTTGGAAAGCAAGCAAATCGTTGAGGATTTGAAGGTTGATCTCAAAACTGAGGCTGAGAAGACAGAGGATACCCATGCTGCTACTGCTTACAAGAAGAAGGTATACGTGTTCCTTTTTTGTTGTTTTTTAATATCTACTGGTTGTATTTCTGATTTTTCAAATTTGTTAATTGATCAAATTCTGCCTTGTGTTCCATATGCGATTATGCTTTTTTAATTTGTTATGATTATGTTGCTTTAGATAATTTTTTCCATTTGGTGTTCTGCCTATCGTCATGTTTTGCAGTGCATTGTTTTAGAAAATATGTTGGTTGTTTGATCATACCTTGTTTTGCAGTGCATTGTTTGATGATTTGTTTCTTATGAAACAGAAACAAATGGTTTGGAATTTAAAAGGTTTTAGATTTGAGAGAAGTGGGAGGAATGAGGGGTTATAGAAATAATGTTCTAATGCAAGTTGGTCATGTAGGCGATGAGTTTGTTTAATTTTTATTGTATACATATTTATGAAAAATGTATTGCAAAGTTTGAAATTGACAAGCCAGCTACTAGGGAAAGCTAAATTGACTGTTTTTTTTTGTTCTATTGAAAATGGATCAACAAGTGAAGGTTAATTTGGTTTGTTGTTTCCCTATATGAAAGGGATCTGCTGTTTTGGAGTGAGGTTCTTCTAGGCTCTTGCTGGAGGACGTGGTGTACATTCTTTTTATTACCATGTCTCTAATCTAGGTGGATCCTAGAGTGGCCATCTCATCTGCAATGTGCATCTAGTTAATATTAGGGCTCCTTTTTTTCCGGTGGTTATCATGTGATTTTGTTTTTTGTACTTGTAGACAATTATAGAACTTGTGATTCTGTCGGTTTAACTTTTGTTCCGAATTGCAGGTTATTTACTGTACAAGTTTGAACTGGAGTGCCGATGGGAGCACCTTGTTTAGTGGCTACTCCGATGGGGTAATCAGAGTTTGGGGCATTGGCCGTTACTAGAAAAGCTTGGGAGTAATATTCTCCTCCGGACTTATGTTATCGAGAACAGTCCTTTACTTTTTTTTGTTCTTGTAGTTGCTTTAAAGTTTATTTAGGTTTTTGTTGGAAATGTTGGACATGTTGGATTTTATCATTATGTTGACTATATGGCTTTGAGGCCTCGTTATTTTGAGCTTCGGTTTTCAAATTAAGATATTATATTGGCTTTTCATCCTCAGTTAAGCATTGAATTTGATAATCAAATTCCATATTCGTTAACATTGATTATGTGATTACTGCCATGGCGAGATGTCATGAAACATTTACCCAACGGGGTCAAGTTTTTAGCTATCAGCTCAGTGGCATTTGTGTGCTGCTTGCAAGCGGCTTGATCGAGTTGATCTTTAGTGAAGCTTAATTTTGAGCTTATTTGCTAAACTGATCGAGTACGTAATAATTGTTGCATTTATCTCATGTATATTGTCAGTTATTTTTAGAGTTCATTCACTGTAACATATTTCGATGCCCTGCCTGCCAACGCAGTCTTGTATTCCTTTTGGAGATTGATTGAGGTGATGCGAATTCATGATTTTAACATCAGTACGATACACGCTAACCTGATCTGATATGATATGCTGCTGATCGTATTGTGAGATACTTAAAATGAAATTGAACGTTACAACTTACAGCACTGAGGTAAAACACTTAAATTAGAATTAAATAACCCCATACTGCTTATGTAAAGTAAACGTTACAGCACTGAGGTAAAACTCTTAAATTAGAAACAGAGCTGATTTACCCACTCCTCTTTTGTCCATTTATACTACTTTTGTTAGAAACTATATCCACTTACATTCCCTTTTTTGTTATAGTTAAAAGTAATAAAATAATAATAATAATTGTAAGTGCAAAATCAATGCAACTTATAAAACGCTGAAAATTGAGTTCTGAATTCTTTTCCTTTTTTCCCTTCGCATTCAAGAAACAAACAAACGAAATTCACACCAACCGCTACGCAAAACTAAAAGCATTTTACTAACATCAAATATGGCACCATTCTTCAAATTGTAAGAAAATTTATATTTTCAATGAATAGTCGCTATACAGCTGTAACTCATCAAAATTAGTCGCTCAAGGCAACCGAAGAAAATTATATGTACATCTTACAAGACTTCTCAGATAAGAAGAATCCTACAAAAGCTCCAATTTTTTTTAATTTTTGGCTAATGTGACGAAAGAGCAATTGAGGTTAACACAAATGCCATAGTAGCATCACTAACACAAGTCACAAGAATCCCAGTTCCAAATCCTCCGTATATGCTATAGTACACTTTACCTTTTTTTACATGTCCTCACGAGCTGGTGATAACTTCAATAAAACTGACTTAGCTGGCCCATTGTCACCAGCAAAGATGATTAGAAATCCTTTTCAATGATTTGCCTGCCTGCAATAAAATGGTCCCAAACATTGCGCAACCAGTTTTTTGACTTCCGTATACTACCGTTGTACTACCTTTTATATGGCTACTATCAAGGCCCCTTTTTCATGTGCATAGATGAAAACTTCAAATATTACCTTGGCTTCTGGTTATCACCTCTGCGAGACTGACGCTGACTGTTCTTTGATTTATTTCGCAGAAAGCAAGCAAGTGTTGTATCACCAGCCTCATGATCACCTTCTGCGCCAATGTTCACTATTTCCCTCGCAGTTTCACAATGATCAACCCCATGTTGTTTTCCTATATCTATTGCACCAGGCTCATTACCAACAGCCAAAAAGGCCACTTGGCTTCGATCATTAGACTGATCTAATGTTTTTGGAAGCGGCTCTGATCTTGTTGTTACACCTGAGGGAAGGCAAGCGTGAGGACTGCTTTTGGCAGTTTGAGGGTGCCTCTTCTTCAATTTCTTTTTCCTCAAGGAAGCAAGAACAACACCATCAGTATCACCATCACTTTCTGGATCAATGCCCACCACTTTCCTCACAGGTTCTTGTAAGCCAGCCTTCCGCCCACTGACTAACTTTAGTCCATCAGGCTCATTGTCACTAGCCATGATGTTACCATTCAAATGACTAGACTGCACACTGCAAGATGGCATTCTTTCTGAAATTCTATCATCACAATGGACCACAAACTCATCATCTTTCCGGAAAGAGACTATTTGATTTCCATCGCAAACTTTATCCATTTCAGGATGCACTTCAGATCCCTTCTGTATACTGTTTGCAGGGCACTCCTGAACAGCAGAAGCAGAAGCTACAAGCTTTCTCTTCTTTTTTCCATTGATTGAGGGGACAGGCCCAAGCTTTCTCTTCTTTGATTTATTGCGTAGAAAGCAAGCAAGTGTAGTATCATCTTCATCTGATGTTCCTACAATCTGATCTGAACAAGACATTTCCCTAGGTTCTTTGTGTGTATCCTGCTCACAAGGAAGAGTTACAACAACCTGACACTCTCCTGTTGGTTCAGTACCTTTGTGCCTTATGCGTCGCTGTTTACGAACTTTATTCTTCGTATTTGAGGCATCATGTCCATCAGATGTCTCAACCTTATCAAAACTATCTATCTCAGATACCTTGGAACAACTTTGACTATTGTTTCTTTGCCTCCTGGATCTAATCTTCTTCAAAACTTTGCTGCATTGCACAAAAGGTATATATGGTAAGCATGAATAAAGCAGGAGTGAAATGGGGCAATATTGTATGCATTCTCCACTTGTTAATACAAGAAACATAAAATTCTAAGGAAACTCGTGGAAATATGTTGTGTTTGCTTCAACATAAAACAGGTAGGGGAAAATTGTAAAAATTTACTGGGTAAACATAATTTTCTGGGTATTTGAACATTATACCTTAATTTTCCTTTCTGCTTCCTAGAATAAGTTAAGGTTTTGGTTGAAGTAACAATTGGCGGACGAAAATCATTAGGGCCAAGGGCTGGACGTTCTGTCTCCCGATCAACAAAGTTGCACATAAGAGCTGCCTTTCTTATTCTTTTCTCTTCTTTGAGCAAGGACACTTCATCTGGAAATAACACCTTCCATCTCCTGCTCAAAATGAAAGTCAGAAAAAATAAGTGCAGGCAACAAAATAAATGAATAAAACAATTTGACATAATCAGGACCTCATACCTCCAGCACATATTATCAGTACGTCTAGGCACACATGCAGCAACTTTGGACCAGCAATATCCATATTCTGCAATGGCTTCTCTCAATCTTGAGTCCTCTTCTTCAGTCCATTCACCCCACTTCAAAGAAGGTTCTAAAGAGTTGACATATCTGCAACATAAATTGAAAATTAACAATTTTCTTAAATTGGTAGCTTCTACGCTTAACTTCAGAATGCGGTGCTGTACCTATCTCTACACTGTGCCTGAGTTCGACCAGGCACAAATTGAGCTGTTTTATTCCAATTTTTGGGGCCAAAGAGCATTTGAGCCACTTTCAGACGTTTATCTTCCTCTGGAGTCCACCTACCTTCTCTTTTCCTGGTTGGATGAAGAGATTTCTTCCATCTGTACAGTACGAAAAATTATCATTACCATTAATGAGGCTCAGAAAATGCTGCCAGAATAAAACCAGATTCTAATAGAGGGAAACTATGAATGCAAAGAATGGATTAATTTTATAAGATTTTCCAGGAGGAAAGACAAGAAGACTTTTCCAGTGTTTGTGTTGAGTTGAAGCCATAAGCAAAATATAAAATAGAAAATAATGTTCTAGAAAGTAATTTTTTTAAATCTACCAAACATAAACTTTTCCATCTCAGAAAACTTGTGTCAGAAAAAAGAATAGAGCATGAACTATCAAGTGAAGTATATGATCCTTGGTGGTGCAACAATAAAACTTCAACCTAACCCCAAAACATTTAGCCATCTATATTACAGAATATTCAATGTCTATTCAGAAAGTAACTCAACTTGCATATCTCCTCAACGGGAATTACCATGCTCTTTCTTCAATACCAAAAGAATAATATGTAATGAACTTCCCGAGTCAGCAATAGACAGCTTCAAAATTTGAATAAGAAACGTTCATAGAAAACTAACCTATTAGAGCATTGGGAACCAGTTCGTCCTTCCAAAGCAGAAGCTACAGACTGCCAATCACCTTCACCCAAAGCTTCTACAGCTGAGCGAAGTCTTGCATCCTCATCTTTGGTCCACTCCTGTTTCAGTATGGAAGCATTTAGGCTCCTCTGATAGCGTGCCAAGCACTGAAATGGAGTCCTGTTTGTCCCCAACAATACTGCAATATTAAACCAATTATCGATCCCCTTCTCCTGGACAAGATGCAGAAGATTCTTGTCCTCCTTCGCAGTCCATGATTTGTGATTGATTAAAGGATCCTCCCAGTTCAACCACCTGCAAGGATTAATCAGATAAATCAAGCTAAAAGAAACTAAAGAAAAGATGACCATGTGATAATCTTTATTGTGGTCAGATAAATACAAGTTACTGATAGCGCACAGACATCTGTGATGGCAATCATCACAGACGCGATCAACACCACTGTTTTGAGTAAAGCACATGTCATGTATGGGTCCCACCTTTTATGACCTATGCTGACCTTGCATTTTTTATCAAATCCAACAATGGTAAACGTGTCTGTGATGGTGACCCCATAGACGTCTGCCAAAACTCGCTTCATTGAAGTATATGAATGCTTCAGGAAAATCAATACAGACAAAAACGCTAGTCAAGAACCGCACAGGTTGAGACGTGAAACAAAATGAAAACGAACCGCACAGGAGTGACAAACCCCTTGAACTCAGTTGCTCACTCAATCTTAGTCGTTCATCAAACGAACATTATTATTTTGATTCAGTATAGATTACCGACTAATTTTTGTAAAATTGTAAACACAACGTTTATAAGTGTGACAAATCATATACTCAGCCCAGCCCCTAGACATAAGGTCTCTTCCCAAGGTTGAAAAAAAAAAATTGAAATCATAACTATTCTTAAAAATAAAAAACGGAAAAAGAAGTGTTGGCCAATAAGGTGTCGATATTGATCTGAACTTTGAAACATACAAGAGATTCAGAAACATATTATCTATTTATGTATTTATGTATGTCAACATGATGACACAAATAAACTAATTTTACATTCTCTTGCATGACTTAGAAAAATGAAGTGAATAGATTAATTAGAAAGTTTAACGGCATAAAAAAAAATTTGTACCATTACAAAAGCTCATACCTTGCTTCA